CCTGATGTAACCACTCCCATACCTGCTATACTCGAATAAAAGTAGGTGCGTAAGAACTCAAGGGGTCTTTTCGCTCCTGCTTCTACACACCTCACCAAAGAAAGATGTTGTCCGTGTCTTCTTAAGCCGCATGCGAGGCCCGATAGTCAGCCTGACTATCGTACATCACCGGTTCCGCAAATCACCCTGGAAAGGGCCACTCGTATCAAATCTCTTTAAATCAGGTGAATGACAATTTCACAAATACTACCTACCTTCCAGTTTTCCTAATATATGAAACTACCTTAGCATATTCATTCATGTGATCAATATAAAAATCACTATAAGACACATAGGGGACAGTCTCTGCTACATTCCAGTGATTATTAGAACAAAATTATAAACCAATGACAGATTTAAAATTATCCCAGAATCTGGAAGTTGCTATTGAATAATTCTGTCCTGGACAAGACAATTATTTCCCCTGAACTTCATCTCAGTAAGGATCAAGATTCAGCCCTGCAGATATGCCATCAAATTAAGCTAGATGATTATCTACGGTATGCTGTAACCAAACGTCTGATGAAAATATGGGAGGGAGAGATTCATTCAAGAATTACAGTATATGACTGTACTTGATTTCTGCCCAGAATCCTCAAAGCTGATTTCAGACATAATTAAGAAAATAATTACATTTTAGGATGAAATTAATTAATTGCCTTGGCCGCCCAAGATATGCATCAGCTTTATCTATAACAGGAAATTCTGTGAGGCACTTTAGAAAAAAGCACTAGCAAAAAATCAGCCTTCCCTAATATAATGATCTCAAGACACCATGAAACCCGAAAAAGTGACATATGCATAGTATACACATATCCTTTTTACCTTTGGGGTTTCTAATATTGAAACAATAACTTTTAGGAGCATTTTAATTTAAAAGGGTACCATCTGACAATTGCTAATACAGAGTGTCATGTAAAGCCTCATGGTCTGAAACATGCTGTACTGATTTGCTTTCATTCTCCATTTATATATATATTTTAGAAGGTTTCCCTATTTTGCTATGTTTTAATTATGGGTTGTTTATTGTCATATTTGATCTGATGAAGTTTAACAAATAATTTGAAAGAAAAATATTCTCCCTAATATATTTACTTTCTTCAAGCTACACTGATACTTTTTTTTTCTCTTAATGATTTAATATTAAAAATTTTTACAGGTAGTCCACACCCTATGACTGGTTGCTTAGCTACCGTTCAAACTTACGATCCATCCAAAAAAGGGGAATTACAATCTGGATTTGTCATTCGGATAGCTGGGCCCTCTTCACTATCATGTGACCAAATTTTGGGCATTTAGCATCATGGCCACATTTATGGCCATTTGCTGCCCCCCCCCCCTGATAGCATTTTACAACTGTTTTGCTAAAAACCAGCATTGTTTGGTTTTTTTTGGCAAAGCTGCACTCATAATGAATCATTGGTTCCCTTCACACCCAGGGCATTTGCTTAATACCCATGTTCACTTAACACCCAAGGGGTTTGCTTATTGCCCATGGCATTCGCTTAACAACTGTGAAGCAGGCTCCATTACATTCGTATGCCAAGGCTACTTGAAGTGCTCCAAAGCAGCTGCAGAGAAAAAAAATAGCTATTTGTTTGCTCATTTGGCCAATATACCATCATGAACCTGAAAAGGAATCAGATTATTTGATAAGCATCACAAACTGATTACTTCTCCGAAACAGTCTTGGGAAATTTATATAAACAAACAAACAAACAAACAAGCAAGCAAGCAACAGGTACTCACAGGAGTATGTGATATTCATATTTAATTATAGCCTTATAAATTTTTGTTAAAATGCCACCTGACCTCTAAGTCATAGGATTAAAAAAACAGATTTTGCATAGACTATTGCATGGGAAGGTTATGAAAAACACTTGGTATAACTTTATTTTTGTTTCTTTAAAAAAAAAAGCTTACCTGTATAATTCTTGGGAAATACAGTCATAGAGTTCCTCAGCAGTAAATTTTGTACTATTATTTACCTATGAATTAAAAAAAAACACCAACTCATTAATGTAAGAAAATTCATTAATTATCAAATACTAATGTTATATACCGGGAATTATTTGTTGCCGTAATAAAAGCGAATAAAAGCTTCAGATTTTTTTTTAAAATTAACTCTTATGAATTGGCCCACAGATTAACATTGTAGAGAGCAATGTCTGCAGCAAAAGATTTTGATGGAAGACAACTTTAGTGAACCCTGAGAGTTTGAGAAAGCTTCCCCTTTTTGCCCCAAAGGTGCTTTGTCATGAGGCAACTGGACTTTTTTTTTTTGTCTTTGAAGACATTTCGCTTCTCATTCAAGAAGCTTCTTCCCCTTTCTGATAATCTTAATGCATGTGCAAATGTTGTTTGCAGTGGAAAAAGAATGGCTTAATCAAGATTGTGGGATGTAAGCTTTTGTCAGGTGCGAAGGATCAGGGCCATATGTTAAGTTGCAACACAGAAGATTTATTCAAGCCTATACACAAGAAACTAATCTAGTAATAGTCAGCACTAAATTGGCACTAGATAAGGGTCGAGGGAATTCAAGGAATGCTTGACTTGGATTGTTTGTGGCAATGCAAGGACTCTATATTGATAACATGTTTAACTCTGCCTGCTCTTCTCCTACAGCTTTGGCTAGTAAATCAGTGCTAAGCAAAACATGCATTCCATCAGTTACTATGTCACACTCCCCATATGTTTTTGCTGTTTGAACTAGAGCAGGGGTGCCAAACTGCTGGCCCATCTGCCGGACACACCATGACGAAACCGCGCCCACCCCATTGACGGCAATGGGGAAAAAGCTCCGATACATCACGCGACGTTGTGAGTTTTTTGACATGTCTGAACTAGAGCGACTCTTTTGTACTCAAGGGACATTGGGGGGGGGGGGAGAACATTTTTAAGACCTCATCTGAACACAGAGAGTGTAGCCTTTCATGTTATGAAGTCATTAGAGGGGAATTTAATCATTCAGAGCAAAATGGGTGCCCAAAGTTTTGCATATTAAAAGTACTTATTTTGCTGCTTAACCCTCCCCAAGCAAATAATAATTTTGCCTTGTCAAATTCGAGGGTACTTTGTATAACCAGTGAGTTACCAACCCTGACCGATTTATGACTTGATAACCAAAATGGCACTTTTATTAGACTACAATTCAACAGGCTGCTGTAAGATAAATTTATAACATGTAGATATAGTGAAGTGCATTTAAATAATTTTGTAGACCTTTTCAAAGTACACACAAAAACCTCATTTTTTAAAAAATGTGTACCAGACTGTTTTGAAATCTTTAGCCAAAATTTATGTCTTTTCTATCATAGATAATTTGATAACAACAAACATACCAAATACCTGAAAGTTAAATAACCCACCTCATTATTAGTTAAGAATCTATACAAGGCCCAGACATCTTGAAAGCTACTATTTGGAACTAAGACTCTAGAAAAAAGAAACAGAGATAGACAATTAAAGGATTTTTAAAACATGAATGTTAAAAATGTTATAGCCTATCCCCCTTCCTGACAATTTTAGATAGATTTTAATATGCGGTTTAGATTCTAAAACCTGTCCTGTTCCTACAGAACACTAATCAGCAGGTGAAAAGGTAACTTTGGAAATATTCATACTGTATACCCTTACTCTGCTTCTGTTGAACAAGAAAAAAATATATATCACTTTTATTATATGTCAGACTGTGTGATCTGCCATTGGCCAATAGACTTGTGCAGGCAAATTAAGTAGCACAGCCCAGAGTGGTCTCAGTCTCCCAGTACAAGGCTAATCAATTTTGTTTTCACAATGACTCTAATTGTTTGTGTCCCACTTGAGGACACCAAACCACAAACTGAACCTGGATCAGGCTACTGGATAGTTTGTTTAGTAACCACTATTTCTATTGTAGGAGGCTGATCCATCCTGAAACGAGGGAAGCTAAAAAGCAGTTGGCTGTTTGGATAAAAAAAAAAAGGATTTAGGAAATAGCTGATGGAGAGACAGGAGTTGGTTACAACAACCAGTCCTGAATTGCTCTTTAAGAACTAATTTCTTAAAAGCTGCAAACCTGTCTTAAGTAACGTTTACCACTGTAATCCAACCAGAAAGAAAAACATACAGGAATTTCTTTTGCCTAAGGTTGGAGGAAGACCCCATAACTAACACATTTGAAAGCAAATCAGGATGCTAAAGCAAGGCAGGTTGGATTGCAAAAATGGCTGGGTTGGGAGATGATGCCCAGGAAACCGGACTGGCATTATGGAAACTCCTCAGAAATGTCTAAGAGTTGTAAACAATTGCAGAAAGTAGTAGACAATTCCAAGATGCCACCTCCCAAAATTAGGACAAGGGAAGGAGAAAGCCACACATATAGTAGATCAGGGGTTCCCAACCCCCGTACTATGGCCCACTATCGGGCCGTGGCTTATTTGGAACCGGGCCGCATTAGCAACAGACCGTTTCGCACATGTGCGCAGCTCCACTTGCTCGAGCAGTAGGCCTTGTGCAAGTCAAGCTGCGTGAGCATACGCTGGCCAGCAGCTCATGCGGCCCGGTTCCCCTCTCCACCCCCTCCCACCCGGGCTACCAAGATATCTGAGCCTGAACTATTGAGATAGCTGAAGGATACCATGAACACTTTAGAAGAAACTGAGATCTGCCACACCTGACTGGTTT